TAATGAATTAACAGCGAAAAGAGAGAATGATGATGGCAGAATTTAATTACATTCAATTTTCGTTATTCTGTAAATGGTGTGTACATTATTATAGCCTGATATTTCCAATCAACTGTACATTTGGATATTGATATTTATAGGGTAATTTAATAAAAAAATGTAAGTGGATGGTAAAATTTTTACAGAGGTCTCATGACGTTATTCAAAATACAGCATAAATACGTACATGTGGTCCCTACATTCTTAAATGGCGACATCTTTAAATCCCCACGTAGTAAAAAAAACGTGCTAAGTACCTATGTTCTAAATTCCTACTTTCCCAAATCCCCACATCCTCAAATTTCTATATACCCAAATCTCCATATCCTTAAATCTATACGTCCTCAAATCCACTCATCCTCAAATCTCCATGTTCCCAAATTCTCACATCACCAAATCCCCACATTCATAAATCTCCACGTCTCCAAATCACTACATCACCAAATCTTTAAATCCCCAAATCTTCACATCCCCAAATCCCCACATCCCACAAATTTTTAAATCCCCAAATCTTCACATCCCCAAATCCCCACATCCCCAAATCCCCACATCCCTAAATCCCCACATCCCCAAATTTGTACATCTTCAAATTTCCACATTCCCAAATCTTCACAAAATCCCTAAATCCCCATATCCCTAAATCCCCATATCCCTAAATCCCCATATCCCTAAATCCCCATATCCCTAAATCCCCATATCCCCAAATCCCCACATCCCCAAATCCCCACATCCCTAAATCCCCATATCCTCAAATCCCCACATCCCCAAATCCCCACATCCCCAAATCCCCACATCCCCAAATCCCCACATCCCCAAATCCCCACATCCCCAAATCCCCACATCCCCAAATCCCCACATCCCCAAATCCCCACATCCCCAAATCCCCACATCCCCAAATCCCCACATCCCCAAATCCCCACATCCCCAAATCCCCACATCCCCAAATCCCCACATCCCCAAATCCCCACATCCCCAAATCCCCACATCCCCAAATCCCCACATCCCCAAATCCCCACATCCCCAAATCCCCACATCCCCAAATCCCCACATCCCCAAATCCCCACATCCCCAAATCCCCACATCCCCAAATCCCCACATCCCCAAATCCCCACATCCCCAAATCCCCACATCCCCAAATCCCCACATCCCCAAATCCCCACATCCCCAAATCCCCACATCCCCAAATCTCCACATTCCCAAATCTTCACATCCCCAAATACCCACATCCCCAAATCCCCACATCCCCAAATCCCCACATCCCCAAATCCCCACATCCCCAAATCCCCACATCTCCAAATCCCCACATCCCCAAATCTCTTATTCAGAATCATGTCAGCTACCCACCATTTCAGGGACCTACACTAATTGTGAGACACCCTATAAAAAAATTCTATGTACTGAACGTACATATTCGTTGCACTCTTTCGACAACTGATATTTAAGTACTGCAACATATGTATGAAACATCCACGTACCGCGCAGAGTTGAACGACCCTCGAACGTACATTTACGTCGCCATCCCCCGAACTTAATTTCCCGAGACACGAGTTCGAAACAGATGAACGAGGTAGCCCGTAATTAATCGTCGTTCCATTACATTCTCGCGCGGAATCGGCGATAACGTCGCGGGACGAAAATTACGTACTCCTTATAGCACGTGTTCCTCTTTTCTCCGGCCTTACTTTTCTTTCTTTCCATCTCACGCGACAGTCTCGCGACATGCACCGTTACAGGACCGTGTAGTTACCAGTGCGACAAATTGACATTGATAAATTCTCTTTGTTATAAAGCGATACATCATTGCTGCCAGCTCGTAGCTGCCTTTGCCCGCTTGGCGAATCGAGTTATTCAGAAAATTGCTCTTCTACTTCCGACTAGTTTTTCTTGCGTTTCTTTTTAAAGGTACTACGTCAACCTTTATTTTGTGCAATTTTGGGAATCTGTCTGAGGAATCGCATATTGAAGGTAGAAATTTTATTGTTGGGGATGTGAGAGGGATAGTTGGGGATGCGAGAATTTTGGGATGTAGGGGTTGGAGAATGTTGAGATTTTGGGGTATGGGAATTTGGGGATGTGGGGATTTGGGGATGAGGAGATTTAGGGATTAATCCTACGCGTAGTAATCCATCGCGTAATAATCTAACACGTAGTCATCCAGCGTGTGGATATCCAACGCGTAGTAATCCAGTGCGTGGATATTCAACGCGTACTAATCCAACGCGCAGTAATGTAACGCTTGGTAATCCTATGTGTCATAATCCAACGCGTAGTAATGCAACGCGTGGTAATTCTACGCATAGTAATGCAACGCATAGTAATCCTACGCGTAGTAATCGAACGCGTAGTAATTCAACGCGTAATAATCCAATACGTAGTAATCCAGCGTGTGGATATCTCACGCGTAGTAATCCAACGCGTAATAATCCAACACGTAGCAATCCAGCGTGTGGATATCCAACGCGTAGTAATCCAGCGTGTGGATATCCAACGCGTAGTAATCCAGTGCGTGGATATTCAACGCGTACTAATCCAACGCGCAGTAATGTAACGCTTGGTAATCCTATGTGTCATAATCCAACGCGTAGTAATGCAACGCGTGGTAATTCTACGCGTAGTAATCCAGCGTGTGGATATCCAACGCGTAGTAATCCAGTGCATGGATATTCAACGCGCAGTAATGTAACGCTTGGTAATCCTACGTGTTATAATCCAACGCGTAGTAACGCAACGCGCGGTAATTCTACGCATAGTAATGCAACTCGTAGTAATCCTACGCGTAGTAATCCAACACGTAATAATCCAGCACGTAGTAATCCAGCGTGTGGATATCCAACGCGTAGTAATCCAACGCGTAGTAATCCAGCGTGTGAATATCCAACACGTAGCAATCCAATTAAAAAACGAAGCCACCCTATATAATTAAAAAATCGAAACCCCTTAATATTTCTACCAAATGTCCAAATATCATTGAACATTGTTTAAATAATATTTGAACCAATCGCAACAATGTATCAAAGTATAAATTTCAATTATTCCCTGCACCAGCTAACTCAATAACGCGATTGCTAGCCGAACCCCTTCAAAGAGAAATATACGCGAGTAAGAGTGTTAAGCAGGCAAGATTGATCAATTTTAAATCGAGTTACCTTATTATCGTTGTACCATGGAAGACCGAGGAAAAAGTAATGGAAAAACAAGCGGAAGGATGAGAAATCGATATTCAATATTGCAAACAATTATCCACGTAGCAAAACAACGACGCATCTGGAGACGATGACCCAGTAACGAGATTTAGAACAAAGAAAAACGTGAAATATGATAGTTCTGAAACGCGGGTGGTCCGATTATTGATTGACTTGTTCTACTTGTCAAACAGAGCAGCCTTCCTGTAAGATATGTACGGTCGTATTCTACTTGCCTCCATATCACTACGTTCTACTCTCAAAGTCAGATACCTACTATTCTCGTCTGATAATACTCCATCCTGTTCTCCTTACTCCATCCTCTTCCGTTCCACTTTTGCACCTCTGTACAATCGCTTATTACAACGGCACTGAATGTCGGAATAATCCATTCATTACTGTTCAACTGTGTTGTCGAGGGGTTTCAAGTAAAGCAATATTCTTTATGTTCTTCTTTTGAAGTGTGTGATACAATGTTGCTGTGACATGATTTTAGACTGATTGTAGCAAAGAATAAATTCACATAAAGTATCCAAACAAACTGGCTTAGAACGAGATTATTTGTTCCAGACTAATTTCATGTGGCAAAGAATGAGTTAGCTTGAAGTATCAGACGTAACCTACCTTAATCTAACATAGCTTAGTATAACATCATTTATTCTAGCCTGATCTAACATGGCAAAGAATGAATTAGCTTGATGGGTCAGACATAACCTAACTCAATTAAACATAGCTCAGTATGACATCATTTATTTTAGCCTGATCTAACATAGAAAAGAATGAGTTAGCTTGAAGCGTCAGGCATAACCTAACTCAATTGAACGTAGCTTAGTATGACATCATTTATTCTAGCCTGATCTAACATGGCAAAGAATGAGTTAGCTTGATGGGTCAGACATAACCTAACTCAATTGAACATAGCTCAGTATGACATCATTTATTTTAGCCTGATCTACCATAGAAAAGAATGAATTAGCTTGAAGCGTCAGACATAACCTAACTCAATTGAACGTAGCTTAGTATAACATCATCTATTCCAGCCTGATCTAACATGGCAAAGAATGAGTTAGCTTGATGGGTCAGACATAACATGTCTCAATTGAATGTAACTCAGTATGATATCATCTATTCTAACCTGATTTAACATAGCTAAGAATGAATTAGCATGAAGTGTCAGATTACTTAATTTTTAATTCTGATCATTTTACTCATTCTAATTTGTCTAACCAGTCAAATGATTCAAATCAGTCGAATCAGTCGAATCAGTCGAATCAGTCGAATCAGTCGAATCAGTCGAATCAGTCGAATCAGTCAAATCAGTCAAATCAGTCAAATCAGTCAAATCAGTCAAATCACTCAAATCACTCAAACCAATTAAATCATTCAAATCATTCAAATCAGTCAAATGAGTAAACCAGTCTAATCATTCTAATCATTCTAATTAGTCTAGCAATTCTAATCGACTTAACTAATCAAACCATCTCAATTATTTCATTTTCCTCAAAATTCCCAAATTTCCCTAAAGAGTTGAAACCCCCATTTATGAATAATTTTGCAGAAATTGACCTTATCGTTCATTTTAAATGTATTTCTAAAATATGACGACGAAGCGATTGGCGTATCCTATTTTGTTAACAGTCCGGATTTCCGGTTAGCCAAAGGATTAATCCGCGATTTAATACGATAAAACCGAAATCGTCCATCATCCCCCGCACACATTAACACACGCTTTTGCTCTCGAACACGAAATTAATGCCGTGCAAACGACCGAACTTGCAGTCAGCCCGTTGGACGTGAAGATAATCGGATCGAACCAGCCGTTGTCCGCGGGCAAGAGGTACGAGCTGGTGTGCACCACTTCCGGATCCAGACCGCCAGCCACGGTAACATGGTGGAGGAACGGACAGCGTTTAGTGGAATCCAAGGAGACCGTAAGTACACGATTGTACAGTTACAGGCGAATTTCGTTTGTGTTGGAGGGTTGTGAAATTTAGGAATTAGGGAGTTGGAAAGGTAGAAGTGAAATTTAGGAATTTGGAAGGTGGAGATATGGGAATATTGGGATTATAAAGTTTGGGAATGTGGGGAGGTGGAAATTTGGGATTTGGGATGATGAACGAGTTGAAAATTTGAGGAGAAAATTTGGAAACTGAAAATTGGAGGTTTGGTAATTGGATGAATGGAGATTTGAAATTTTAGTAACTTAGGGATTCAGAAATTTGGAGATATAAGAAAATTAGAAAATTTAGAAAATTTGGGAAATTTGGAGAATTTAGAGAATTGTAAAATTTAGCGAATTTGGAAAATTTGAGACATTTGAGAAACTTGGGGAAACTTGGGAAACTTGGGAAATTTAGGAAACTTGGGAAACTTGGGAAACTTGGAAAATTTATGCAATTTATGGAATTTATGGAATTTGTGGATTTGTGGATTTGTGGAATTTGGGGAATTTGGAGAATTTAGGGAATTTGGGAAATTTGAAAAATTTTAGAAACTTAGGAAGATTAGGAAACTTGGGGAATTTGGGAAACTTGGGAAACTTGGGAAACTTGAGAAATTTGGGAAATTTGGGAAACTTGGAAAACTTGGAAAACTTGGAAAACTTGGGAAATTTAGGAGACTTGGGAAACTTGGGAAATTTGGGTAACTTGGAAAACTTGGGAAACTTGGAAATCTTGGAAAACTTGGGAAATTTGGAAAACTTGGAAAACTTGGGAAATTTGGAAAATTTGGGAAATTGAGAAATTTTGAGATTTTAGAGAATTTTAGGAATTTAGGAAATTTGGTAATTTAGAAACTTGGAAATTTGAAAATTTTGAAAGTTGGGAATTTGAACTTTGGTAATTTAGAAACCTGAAAATTGGGTAATTTCGAAACCTGAAAATTTGGTAACTTAGAAACTGGAAAATTTGGAAATCTCAAAACTCGAAAATGTGCAAATTTGGACATTTAAACATTTTCAAATTTGCAAAAATAAAAAATGTATTAACGAACATAAAAAGAACAGAATTAAAAAAGAATTCAAACCGTGAATTTTTCATAAGATATTCGAACGAATGTCGAAGGCAATAAATGTGATATCCAAAGAGGGTGAAAAGGGGGTAGCACAGGATTCGATTTATTCTCTTTGGAGCGTACTTTGAAGAGAATTTGTAATGGCGGTTGAATACGAAGGTAGCCTTAAAGGAGCCGTAAAATAGGTGTTCCATGCATGTAACGTTGTGTTGCGCAGTGTTGTGTCGTGTGTGGTTGGTGCGATAGCGTGCGAGGGAATCGTTATCGTGGGACCAAGGCTTAAGCCACGTTAAAAGCGCCATTAGACGACGAATAATTTAAATCGAAGTGAACCGGTGACACGATAACGCTGCTTCACAGTTGCATAATTAAAGGAAATTAGGTGGTATCGTCATTGACTTAATTATGGTTTTTGTGTGGGATTTGACCTTTGGGTTTAGGGAATGGTTTGTATGAAGTGTTAGATGATTTAGGGACTTGGGGTGGTTTGGTATATTTGGGTATTTGGGAATTTAGAGTTTAGAGAGAATTTAAAAATGTTGAAATTGAAGATTTGGAATTGAAGATTTAAGAATTCACAATTTGGAGATTTGGAAAATTACAAAATTTGAAAATGTGGAAAATTTGGAAAAATTGAAAAAATTGGAAAATGGGAAAAATGGGAAAAATTGGAAAAATGGGAAAAATGGGAAAAATTCGGAAAAATTGGAAAATGGGAAAATTGAAAATCTGAAAATCTGAAAATTTGAAAATCTGAAAATCTGAAAATCTGAAAATCTGAAAATCTGAAAATCTGAAAATCTGGAAATCTGGAAATCTGGAAATCTAAAAATCCTAAAATAGAAAATCTGAAAATATAAATATCCTAAAATAAAAATCTGAAAATATAAAAATCTGAGATCCTACCACTCTAAATAATAATAAGCTTAAAAATCTGAAAACTTGAAACGTGTATCCCTCAAAGGTACAATAACTCGCAATTAAAATCTCGTCCACCAATTTCGCAGCGTTGAAACTTAAACGACAATTAATCGATCAAATTTTCCCCGTTACAAAGGCCTTCTTCAAAACACGATAATACTCTACACAAATTGTCGCAGATGAAAGGACTTTTCACAAAACTTTGCTACCAAGCGACATTAATTGAACTTCCCCTAACTCCTCCATAAATTATAACAAAACTCAATAGATACCGACGTTATGGTCCAGAAAATATCCGAAATTGCCTGTCAATTCTAACAGACTCAGATTAAATGCGTGAAAACGAAACGAGCAATAGGAAACTTTCCAAACTGTAAGATTACATAAAGAGAAAGAAAGAAAAGGAAAAAACGGGGAACGAGAACGAAGATGAAAGAAGGAAAAGAACGATCTCGCTTTCTTTGGCGTACTCCTATAGATTATACTCCTCCTCGTATTTCTCCTTACGCCTCATCCTCTGTTGTTTAACTTTCTTATGAAAGCAAAGAAGAAAAAAGGAGGCAGCCTGGTGGAACGGTGGAGCATCGTGGAACTATATTTTCCTCGTTTTCCTTCCTGACAGCCGTTTCACCTTTCTCCACCGGTCCCTCCTCAATTTTCGTGTCTCAAATATTTGTATTTTGATCGGGGTTACGCGTGAACCTCGGTAAAAATTAAATAACAAACTGAAATCTAATTCAATTTTCCAGCTTCTACGGTGACTCGAAACTCGAACCGTGAAATTAATGTTTTTGTGTACTTTGCCGAGATTGAACGGGGACGAGGGATCTGCGAAATATAAGTTTCTTTTGTTGAGAACTGGAAAGTGACGAACAGTTTTTGGGATATGCTGCAGAAATGGTTCGATGATTTGTAGGTGGGAAAATTTCTTTGTGTAAGGTTGGACTTTTGGGAAATTGGAAAAATTAGGAAAATTAGCAAAATTAAGAAAATTAGGAAATTTGGGAAATATAGGGAATTCATAGAACTGGGGAAGTTTGGGAAATTTGGGAAATATGGGGAATTCAGAGAACTGGGGAAATTTAGGAACCAGACAATTTGGGAAATTTTGTAAATTGGAAAAATTTGGCAAGCTTAGAAAATTTGGGAAATTTAGGAAATTTAGGAAATTTAGGAAATTTAGGAAATTTAGGAAATTTAGGAAATTTAGGGGAATTTGGGGAATTTAGGAAATTTGAGAAAATTGGGAAAATTAGAGAAATTTATGGAGTTTGTGAATTGTTGAAAATTTTGAAAAATTCGAAAATTTGAGAAATTATTAATTCAAAAATTTGATAATACAAAAAAAACTTTGAAAATATAAAAGTACAAAAGCTTAACAATTTAAAAACATAAAAATTTCCTAGTCTTAACACCTAATCTCTCAAAACCATAACTAATAACATTCTCTCCCTAATCTTGATGTAAAAAGAACCCATGTCATACCAAAATACAGCTAATAAAAGCAATTTCTGCAAAGCACCCGATCAATACGATCGTGGTTAATGATAACATATTGCTTTATTACTGTAGCGGACGATAATGGGGAAAAAGTGGTGGTGAAGTTTCGTAATTTTTCCTAACGATAAATCATCGGATACCCACTGCTCTTCGTTTGCTTCTTCTTCTTCTTCCTCGTCAAAATATTGCTCGTACAAAGACGATACAAATAATTGAATCGGCGAAAGAATTTCATTGCGAACGGACATTGATCAACGTCAACATTTCTGACTTTTTATTTCCTTTGCTTGAAAAATACAGAATATCTGACAGGAGACAGAGTAACTTTTATTTAAAGCTTTTATAGATTTATTAATTGTGTAACTCTTTAAATATTTGTAAAATTATGATAACACATATTGTAACACATATTGTGTCAAAAGTATAGTAAATTTTATATATAACTTCGTTATTTCTTATTTATAAATATTAATAAAATTACTATAATAATTATTCTTTTTTGTTAAGTATTTATATTAACATAACTGTCCATTAATATTAAATATTTAATTATATTAAAATTTATGTGACAACAAAAAATTAATGTAACAACGATGTGATAAATCTTGTCTTAAAACAAGAACTTATATTAAAACGAAAGATATAATAATTTTGTTTAAAAATATTTTTCGTTAATATTTATTATTAATATCATTAACTTAAAAAATTATTGATGTTCCATTAACAGTCTATAAAAATAACAACAACTACTTTGTATAAAAAGAAATCACAGGATATAATGATATAACAAATAACCAAAAAAGAAAAACATTCAGAACAGATACAAATACAGTTCAATTTTCTGAAGTTCCCCGTCGTAAAGAGTGCCATAAAACTAAACAGATCCGCAGCAAACTACTGAAGTCTATGGACACTTTAAACTAGGGAAACTCTAAACTAAGCCATTTCCGCAGAATAACACGCTCGTAGTCCGCCATTTCTAAGCCTACCGTGGCATGGACCTCGTTACACCTCGACTTTATCGTCCGCGGCTAAAAAGAACATAGCGAAACGTTGTGAAAACGAACCCGGGTCTTCTCCATAGAATTTTAGGACTCTCCGTCTTCTAAATTGACGTTTCGCACATTTACGTTCGATATAATTCGAGACGAGACAGAATGATGACCTCGTGTGGCGGTAAAACTGGAATAGGAAACTTTCATGGAAGGGATGTTCGATGTTATATCAATTTAAAATGAAAGACGGAAATTTTTGTATCTTTCGGTTGGGTGGGCAGTTGGAATGGTAGAAGGAATATTTGAGGGGAATGGGTTTCTGTAGCTTGTAAATTTTAATGTCGATAAGCTCTGCGTATCAAGTTTTATATTTTCAAATACTTATATCTCAAAATTGATGGATGTTCAAATCTCTAAATACTTTGCAAATCTATCTATGTCCCGAATCCCTATTTTCAAATTCTGTATGTAGCAAATTCTTACATGCACTAATACTGACATCATCAAATTCACACATGTTTAAATCCACACATGTCCAAATCCAAATATGTCCACATCCCTACATCATCAAATCCACACATGTCCAAATCCTTACATCATCAAATCCACACATGTCCAAATCCTTACATCATCAAATCTACACATGTCCAAATCCCTACATCATCAAATCCACACATCATCAAATCCACATATGTCCAAATTCCTACATCATCAAATCCACACATGTCCAAATTCACACATGTCCAAATCCACACATGTTGAAATCCCTACATCGTCAAATCCACACATGTCCTAATCCCTACATCGTCAAATCCACACATGTCCAAATCCCTACATCCCCAAATACCTACATCCCTAAATCCCTGCACCCTCCAATCCCCAATCTAATAACACTAGAACTTAAAGAATAACTAAAACACCTCCTCAAACAATTATCCCCCCCAAAAAACCCACAAGAACCCTAAGAAATGAATGTATTTGCGTCACAAACCCGACATTTCACGCTGCCATAAAATTTTACAGTCTACCTATTCTTATATCTGCACGAGTCGTCGAACGTTAACATTAAAGTTATCACAACACTGTTATAGACTTCCGGCGATGGGAACACGACCACCAGCATCTTATCGTTCATGGCGACCAAAGCAGATGCTGGCAAACACTTGTCGTGTCGCGCTGAAAATCCAATCATGGGAACCGAGCCGATCGAGGACGGCTGGATGCTGGAGATACAGTGTAAGCGTATTAAAGACACATTGCTCCATAGGTGCGCTTGATCTGTTACGATTACCCCGTGACTTATTGACCTCTCCTTTTATCTGCGCAGACACGCCGGAAACGCGGATACAACTGGGAACCTCGTTGAACCCTAATGCTATTCGAGAGGGCACGGATGTGTACTTTGATTGCTTGATTCGAGCTGAACCGTCGGTTTATAAGGTGGAGTGGAGACACATGGTGAGTCACATATGTTCTAATCATATGATTAATTACATTATTAAATTAGGTTATTAAAGGTTACTTTAGGTTGCATTATTAATACACCCCTCGTTGAGAAAAACGCAAAAAAAGAATTTGTTTAAATTTTTCGATATTTCATAACAAATTAATGGGATTATAAAAAATATTTTAAAATAGCGCAATCCTTAGAGAATAAAACGACAAAGAATTTAGCTAAATCGGTTGAGTGATTTCTGAGAAAAAAATTCGTAAGTGAAGCCTGTTTATAAATTAATACAGGGTGTGTCACAACTAGTGTTCTTCTTCTGACTGGTTTTCCTTAAAATTTTTCGTTATTATAAAACAGATGGACAAAGCTACAAAAAATATTTTAAAATAGCACAATCCTTCGGGAATAAAACAAAAAGGATTTAGCTAAATCGGTTGAGTAGTTTCTGAGAAAAAAATTCGTAAATGAAGCTTGTTTTCGCAAAAGTGGGCAAAAATTGCAAAACTTTGGAAGCTTGTTATTTTTTAACGAATTCGAAACCGGCAAAATGATGACTTAAACCCCCCCCTAATTTCATGTGGACTACAATATATTTTGATTAGAGCAAAATAGCAGATGGTGACGTCCACAGTGATCGACTTGGCGTAGAGTGACCCATGGATTCATATGTGATCATATGTGATTCGATCACGTATCATCTGTTTTAATCATCTTTTGGGAATATTTACAAAAACGTTACGAATGTAACTCCTACATGAAATTAGAAAATTTGAAAAATTCAAAAAATGGTAGAAAATTTGAAAATTACAAAAATTCAAGAAATGGTAGAAAATTTGAAAATTTCAAAAATTCAAGAAATGGTAGAAAATTTGAAAATTTCCAAAATTGAAGAAATGGTAGAAAATTTGAAAATTTCCAAAATTCAAGAAATAGTAGAAAATTTGAAAATTTCCAAAATTCAAGAAATAGTAGAAAATTAAAAAATTTGAAAAATTCAAAAAATGGTAGAAAATTTGAAAATTTCAAAAATTTGTAAATTTGAGAAATTACAAACTTGGAAACTTGAAATTGCACGAAGTGATTTATTTAGTAAAAATAAACGAACAATGTATCATCTGCAATGCGATGATCTATCAATAGAAAAGCACATTGTCTAGAACGCAACGCGAAACATATCATTACATTTTGCAGCACCGCCTGGGAAATATCTATACGCAGACACGTGTACATTCTTCGAGTACATCGAGTATACAACAAGATAAAGGGACTCGGTTCCCACGATCAAAGTTATCGCGGAACTTTGAACACCTTGTTCGTCGTAAGTTCGCGTTTCCTTTCTTTTTTTTACGCTGATAGGTCGGCGGTCGGATTCTTCCGCGCGAGACTCGTAAACGAGGAACTTTTTGGAAGGATACAACGGTTGGGCCACTTTCATGAAACTTTTTGATCCCCGGGAAAACAGGCTTTGTTTAAATTAGTTTCACGAGATGAAAAGACACACAGCCCTGCGGAGCTGGTTCGTAACGGTAATCGAAGAAAGGGAGGCAAACGAGAGAAGCTGTAACGCGAACTGGAAAAGTCTCGATAGACGTGTTGTTATCGGAGTTGCATTGTAATCTGAATAAGAAAAGCGAGCTTAACTGGGATGTATCCAACTTTTCGACGCATTTCGAATGCTTGGATGATTTCGTGTTTGAAATACGGGGTTGTATGAGGATTCGCAATATGGAATTTCATATTTTCGACGATTTAGGCAGGTCTTTAAATTCCATACGGTTCAAGTTTACATATGGAAATGTGGGATATGGAAGTTTAGTGAATTTTGTATTTGCAGATTTTTTAATGGAAGAAATTTATTTGTGGATTTGCAAGGTTGGTAGTTTGGTAATTTAAAAATTTTTTAATTGGAGAAATTTGTTACTTGGAGATTTGCAAGGTTGTTAATTTGGAAATGTAAGAGTTTTTGAATTTGAAAAATTTAGCATTTGAAAAATAAGAAATTTGGGAAGTTGGGAATTTTTGAATGTAAGAAATTTAGCATTTGGAAATTTGCAAGTTTTTCGATTTGGAAATTTGTCAATTTGGAAATCCAAGAATTCTTCAATTGAAGAAATTTGCAAGCTTCTTAAATTAGAGATCTGAGAATTTTTTAATTGCAAAAATTTGTCACATGGAAATTTGCAAACTTGTTAATTTCGAAATCTGAGAGTTTCTGAACTTAAGAAATTTGCAAGTTTCTCCATTCAGAAGTTTATCAATTTGGAAATCCAAGAATTTTTCATTTGAAGAAATGTACAAGTTTCTCAAATTAAAGATCTGAGAATTTTTGAATTGTAAAAATTTATCGTTTGAAAATTTGCAAGTTCATATATTTCTAAAAAATTCTTAAATTTGATAGAACAGATACCACTTCTCTATACTCCTACTATAATTCGATAAAAAAGATGTTATACCCGTGTCGTCTTTTAATTGATGATACCAATATTGATCCTCCATTGAATAGACAAGCATATATCAATTATACCCATGCTCTTTTATTGTCAGCATAAAAAATGACCATAAATCATTGGTTACAGGGCAAGACTCTTCACCACAACGTCACACAGGGTATCATAATCAGCAATCAGAGCCTGGTGTTGCAGGGAGTCGATCGTAAAAGCGCGGGAAATTACACCTGTGTTGGGTACAACACCGAAGGGGACGGGGAAAGTTCGCCATTTTATTTGAACGTAATGTGTGCGTATGACAAGTACTAAATATAATGTAGTTCTTCATCTGTATTATAAAATGATATCTAGACACCTGAACATCTTGCTAGTTAGACACTTAGACACCTGGACACTTAGATACCTAGTTATCTAGATGGCTGGACATCTAGACATGTAGACATCTGGATATCTAGCTAGCTAGACACTTAGACACCTAGATACCTAGCTAACTAGACACTTAGACACCTAGATACTTAGTTATCTGGATGCCTCGACATCTAGACATATAGACACTTACCTAAACACCTAGTGATCTGGATACTTTCATGCCTCAACGCCTAGATATCTAGATACGTGGATATGTGGACACCTAGACACTTAGAGATACCTTGATAAATAGATACGCAGATACCTGGATATGTGGACTCATAGCACTTAGATGCTTTGATACCTAGATACCTAGATACCTGGATATGTAGACAGTTAGACACTTAGGTACATTGATACCTAGACCTCCTGCATATGGAGAAGGACACCTAGACACTTAGATACCTTGATACCTAGTTTCCTAGAGATAGCTAGATACCTGGATATGTAGACAGTTAGACACTTAGGTACATTGATACCTAGATACCTAGATACCTAGACCTCCTGCATATGTGGACACCTAGACACTTAGATACCTTGATACCTAGTTTCCTAGAAATACCTAGATACCTGAATATGTGGACAGTTAGACACTTAGATACATTGATACCTAGATACCTTGATACCAGAACATATTGACACTTAAATATTTAGGTACCTCGATACCTACATACCTAGATACCTGGATATGTAGATACCTAAACAGCTACTTAGATAACTGCTTAAGATAAAGATACTTAAATATCTGAATACTTAGATACCCAGCTAGATTGTCAATTTCGGTCATCCCTATAACCATCAACGTTTTACATCTCCATATCTGTATATTCCATTATCCTCGAACCACATTTCCATATTTCTACATCGTCATATCATCACACCTCCCCATATCCCCGTCTCCCCAGATCAATAAATCCCAATATCCCACACCGATCACCTAAATTTCTATTTAATCATACAACGTGTGATTTCAGTCGCACCAACTTGCAAGCCAAATCAATCAAAGGTGCACAACGTGGCGAAACAAGAAAAGGCAAACATATCCTGCCAGGTGGACGCGAATCCACCGGAGGTACAGTTCCGTTGGACGTTCAACAATTCCGCCGAGAGTATCGACGTGGCCGCCGGTCATATCGCCAGGGCCGGTACATCCTCGATCGTTTCGTACACACCCATGACGGAATTGGATTACGGCACGTTGCTCTGCTGGGCCACCAATCGAATTGGACATCAACAAGTGCCCTGTGTCTATCACATCATACCGGCCGGTGAGGTATCTTTATGTGGTAATTCGATCATGGAAATTCCTGTCGACCGTGAAACTCAATATTCGGACAATGTAACGCGCCGGTTCCGTTGTTCTCTTCGGTTCGATCGATTGTAAACAGGAACATGACAAAATGGGGGAAATCGTCCGTCACGCGACTGCAATTTTCATCTGTCGTTAAATCTTTCGGGGGGAGTTTGCGAGACTCCGTAGATACGGTGGGTTTCGATGGGTTTCTGTACACGTATCGTGTGTCGTAAATACTTTTATGTTGTCATATACTGGATGTAATATGTTGTGTATAATATTGTTATATTATTATACTAGTACCACGCACTGGATTACTATGCGTTGGTTAACTATACGTTAGATTGCCACGCGTTAGATTACCATGCGTTAGAATTCCTACGCGTTAGATTACCACGCGACGAATTACTACGCATCGAATTATTACGCGTTGAATTTACCACGCGTCGAATTACTACGCGCTGAATTTACCACACGTCGAATTTACCACGCATCGAGTTACTACACATCGAATTTACCACACATCGAATTTACCACGCGTCCAGCTACTACGCGCAGAAATTACCACGCGTCGAATTACTACGCGTTAGATTACCACGCGTCGAATTACTACGCGTTAGATTACCACGCGTCGAATTACTACGCGTTAGATTACCACGCGTCGAATTACTACGCGTTAGATTACCACGCGTCGAATTACTACGCGTTAGATTACCACGCGTCGAATTACTACGCGTTAGATTACCACGCGTCGAATTACTACGCGTTAGATTACCACGCGTCGAATTACTACGCGTTAGATTACCACGCGTCGAATTACTACGCGTCAAATTATCACGTATCGAATTACCACGCGCCAGCTACTACGCGCAGAAATTACCACGCGTCGAATTACTACGCGTTAGATTACCACGCGTTAGATTCCTACGCGTTAGATTACCACGCGTCGAATTACTACTCGTCGAATTTACCACGCATGGAATCTACCACGCGTCGAATTTACCACACATCGAATTTACCACGCGTCAAGTTTACCACGCGTCAAGTTTACCACGCGTCAAGTTTACCACGCGTCGAATTACTACGCGTTAGATTACCACGCGTTAGATTCCTACGCGTTAGATTACCACGCGTCGAATTACTACGCATCGAATTTACCACGCATGGAATCTACCACGCGTCGAATTTACCACGCGTCGAGTTACTACACGTCGAATTTACCACTAATCGAATTTACCACGCGTCCAGTTACTACGCGCAGAAATTACCGCGCGTCCAATTACTACGCGTTAGATTATCACGCGTTAAATTCCTACGCATTGAATATCCACACTCTGGATTACTACGCACTGGATATCTACACGCTGAATTACTACGCGCTGGATTATACTACGCGTTGGATATCCACACGCTGGATTACTACGTGTTGGATTATTACGTGTTGGATCACTACGCGTTGGATTACTACGAGTAGGATTACTACGAGTAGAATTACCAAGCGTTGTATTACTACGCGTTGAATATCCACGCGTTGGATTACTACGCGTTGAATATCCACGCGTTGGATTACTACGCGTTGGATATCCACACGCTGGATTACTACGCGTTATCCGAATCTGCCGTTCTCGCAGCTACGCATGCGTAATCTTCGCGCTCTGAGTGGTCCGTGTTTTTCCTTAATAATTTAAAAACGAAGCTTCACACCGCATTTCTGCAAAGGGAAATCTTATTCAGAATCATGTCAACTACCTCCCATTTCAGGGACCTACACTAATTATGAGACACGCTGTGTATCTTGCTATACATGTATATGTATGTATGTCACATTATACATACACTATTACACATAATTGCATGTCTATACAAACTTTAAATAACAAAAAACGATTTTCTCATGAAATTACATCAAATGTCCATATTTTAAGTAAAATTGAAAAATTAAATTTGCAATTCCCTCGAATGACTAATACCCGACAAAAAGAATTCAATACAACGAAACGCGTGAAAGAGAAGTTATAACTCGAAAGAGACTTAACAAAACGTTCTAAAGGGAACGCGAAACGTCGGTAGTTGAGCGTAATTAAAAAAAAATCCCGGTTGCTGACTTTTCAAAAGCGACAATCCCCGAGCGCGAAATCGAGAAGTTCGAGGATTAAAATGGAAGTTCGTTATCGCGTTTGTGTGTAACTCGTATATATGCGAATGACCCCCTTTTTTTCATGTAACGAATGTATCCATCGATCTGCCGAAACGATCTGATAGTTGGATGACCGAAAATGCGGAAAATAGCCCGGCTTAAAGGTATTTGAATCTTCGTTAAACGTAAATCTATTTATCCGCTGGATTTTTACTCCCCGTATTTTTACCGTGGATTTCGTGCTAGTAACTTTTGCGTTCAAAGGGATAAACGGGTAAAAGGGAGATTCGGGGAAAGTTGCGAGCAGAAATAACGAAATGGAAAACCGTGATGGTTGATTTGGACAAGTGATTATCTCTGGAATACCAGAATGAATATATAAATAGCAGAGAATTTTTTTCTGACTTTGATGTAGATTTCTGACTCTTTATTCCTTTTTGGAGGATTCGAATTTTGGTTCTTTTTGTACGGGTTTTAATTAGGAATATAAATTTGTAACGGAGGGGTACTTATCGATGTACGCAATTGAGATACTTACCTATGTCTATCTGTGAAACCAGATGTTTGGAAGAACTATTTTCTAAAAGAGACTAAATTCATAAATCTCTATATTCCTAGATCTTTATATACACAAATTATTAATTTTCTAAATTTCCAAACCCCTAAATTATTAATTTTCCAAATTCTAATTTGTTGAGTTCTCAAATTCCCAAATTTTGAAATTTGGGATCCACAACTTTGTCTATTTCAATATTTCCCAAATTCTCAAATCTCCATATTTTCATATTTTTAATTCTCCACGCCCCCAAATTTCTGAACTCCCAAATTCCTAATTTCTCAAATTCTCAAATCTCCAAATTTTCATATTTCTAATTCTCCACGCCCCCAAATTTCTAAACTCCCAAATTCCTAATTTCCCAAATTCTCAAATCTGCAAATTTTCATATTTATAATTTTCCACGCCCCTAAATTTCTAAACTCCCAAATTCTTAATTTCCCAAATTCTCAAATCACCAAATTTCCATATTTCTAAATTTCCACACCCCCAAATTTCCAAGAACCCAAACTACTAAGTTTCCAAATTCTAATTTCCCAAATTCTCAAATTTCCAAATTTTCATACTTCTGAATTTCCACACTCCCAAATGTCCAAGGACCCAAACTGGTAATTTTCCAAATCCTAATTTCCCAAAGCATGAACACATAACCTAGAAGTATGAACACATAACCTAGAAGTATCAACACATAACCTACAAATATAAACACATAACCTTGTAATATAAATACATAACCTAGAAGCATAAACACATAACCTAGAAATGTAAACACATAACCTACAAATATAGTCACATAACCTATAATTATAAATACATAACCTACCCCTATAAATAAATAACCCACAATAAACTCAAGCTTCCCTACAAATTTCGCAAAAATTTCACAAAAGTGAGTGACGTTAAAAAATTACTAAAGGGGTAGCACCCCACATAATTGTACACAGTTTGAACCCCGAAAGGTCTTGCACTTCCCTTGTTAACCAATCTAATATTTCGAATGAAATTACTCTGGAATACCTTGCAGCCACGCGAATCGACCATTCTATCTTTTTCCTCCTCTTTTATTATTTTTTAATTACTCTCCATCAGGGAACACCGTATCCGTCCATTGCTTCGATCCATTTACCGATATTGAACATCTTTAATGCACTGGCTTCCTGTTATATTAATAGACCAGCCGTAATGAACTTTGTTCTTTATCCTTTCGCTTCCATCGAGGCTTTGAATGTCTCTTAATCGCGAAGATATTCTCGGAACGAGGACAAATAACTTTTAACGTTGTCAGCGATTAGTGTATTTAAACGATTTTGAATAAATGATCGGCTAGATAGGTTCCAGATTCAATGAACGTTTCAACGCTTTATCGATTACTTAATTTTCGACATACGGTGAAAGGGACCCAATGAAGATTTATGGGATTTCGTAATCTTGTTGGTTAATTTGCTGCTTTTAGGATGATGTATTTATTTTTGGGAGATAGGGTGTGCTTTTATATGTGTGTTACTGTAATACAAAATGCATGTAGCTTTCTGCAATTTTTTTTTGAACATCAATGAGCAAGTTTTTATATTTGTTTAACATTTTATAATTGGTGGTACACTTCTCTGTAATTGGTAGGGGGTAAACAATTTTTTTTAGAATCAATTCTAATTTTATTATTAAATTATTAGTAGTAGTATTGTTATTGATAGTACTTTCAAGGTTCCAATTTTCCAAGGTTCCCATTTCCCAAGATTCTAATTTCCCAAGGTCCCAATTTCCAAAGGTCCCAATTTCCCAAGATTCCAAATTCCCAAGATTCCAATTTCCCAAGGTCCCAATTTCCCAAGTTTCCCATTTCCCAAAATTCCAATTTCCTAAGGTACCAAATTCCCAAGGTTCCAATTTCCCAAGGTTCCAATTTCCCAAGATCCCAATTTCCCAAGTTTCCCATTTCCCAAAATTCCAATTTCCTAAGGTTCCAAATTCCCAAGGTTCCAATTTCCCAAAATCCCAATTTCCCAAGATCCCAATTTCCCAAGTTTCCCATTTCCCAAAATTCCAATTTCCTAAGGTACCAAATTCCCAAGGTTCCAATTTCCCAAGGTTCCAATTTCCCAAGATCCCAATTTCCCAAGTTTCCCATTTCCCAAAATTCCAATTTCCTAAGGTTCCAAATTCCCAAGGTTCCAATTTCTCAAGGTCCCAATTTCCCAAGATCCCAATTTCCCAAGTTTCCCATTTTCCAAGATTCCAATTTTCCAAGGTCCCAATTTCCCAAGTTTCCCATTTCCCAAGATTCCAATGTCTCAAGGTCCCAATTTCCCAAGGTCCCAATTTCCTAAAGTCCCAAATTCCCAAAATCCCAATTTCCCAATTTCCCAAGTAGTATTGAAAAAATATTGAGACTTGAAATTTAGAAAATTTTGAAATTTAAAAATTGTATTTAAAAATTTGAAAATTGAAACACTCAAAAACTGAAAAGTTTAATAACCGAAGAATCAAGAAATACAATATCTACCCACCCGTGCAGCAACATATTCGCAATTTTCTTTCTAAAGCACAATTTCCTCTTTAATCCTTCCTATACCATAAAAAGTATATTCCGGTCGATTTGACGAAAACCTTATTCATCATTTACGAATGGAATACCAGCGAGAATATCGGTCCGCCATCGGTTGACGATACACAAATTGTTATCGAGAGGCACATTTTCCTAGCTCGATAATATCCCGAGTTGCCCCAGCGATTGTACGCGAAATGAAAATACTGTGGCAAATGGCGAGGAAATCACGACCGTATCGTAAATTCGACAATAACTCTAGAGCGGGAAATTTCGTTTCATCGAATGTGCGTGAAACGGATGGACTTTGTCGTCTAACTTCAGAGTTTTCTTACCGTCGACGCTTCTGGCTATTTTTATATTTTTACAATTTTGTTTGTTCAAGAAATTCGTTTGTGTATCGAACGGCTTCATCTTATTGGAGCGTGTCCTTATGTTATTCTAAAATAACCGAGAAAATGCTCGAGATTTTCAATTTGTTTCAAATTTGAAAGTTATAAGGAGGGGTTGTGTGGCTAATGTAAAAATAATATTATTAATTTGTTGTTATTGGTGTTAATAATAATAGTGTGTATTGTTGATGATGTGTATATTATACATTATGTGTATATGTATACTATATGTATACATATCATACATATACATATGTGTACATGTTCATACATATGCATACATATACGTACATATACATACATGTACATATGTATACATATGCATAGTTAATCATATGTATACATATACATATATTACACACACGTATGTACATGTATGCATATACCATACATGTACATATGTATACATTACATAACATACATGTACATATGTATACATATGCATACATAACATACATGTACATATGTATACATATGCATACATAACATACATGTACATATGTATACATATGCATACATAACATACATGTACATATGTATACATATGCATACATAACATACATGTACATATGTATACATATGCATACATAACATACATGTACATATGTATACATATGCATACATAAACATACATGTACATATGTATACATATGCATACATACACATACATATACATATGCATACATACACATACATATACATATGTATACATATACATACATATGCACACATATACATATACATACATTACACACCCGTATATGTATGTATACATATACACATAATGCACCTAACGTATACATATACACACATACACATACATGTACATATGTATACATATGCATACATAACATACATGTACATATGTATACATACACATACACACACATATGTATACATATACATATATTACACACACGTATGTACATGTATGCATATACACATAATGCACCTAACATATGAACCTCCTATCACCTTGTACTTGCAATAATTAGCAATGAATAAACCGTTCAGAAAATTGTAGGTTAAGTTCTCTAAGATATCCCATCATATTTGCAAGTCGAATGAAGCAGTACAAGTTCCACAATTACTCTCATATATCATCGAACAAGAGTACAAAGATTGATGAACAGAAACGAATTAGAAATCTCTGCCGCAGGTCGACCGGATATGGTTCACAATTGCACCACCTCGAACACGTCGACCAACTCGTTCTCCATACGATGCGCCGAGGGTTTCAACGGCGGTCTCCAACAATCCTTTCTTCTCGAAGTAAGGGAAAGCAACAGCCAGGAATTGCGTGCCAACCTGTCGTCGCCCGTGCCGCGTTTCAGCGTCACACACCTGGAGTCCGGCGCCCTTTATCAGGCCTGCATTTACGCGTACAACGAGAAAGGGCGCAGCGAAGCGATGGTGGTGCAGGCCGGCACTTTGAGGCTGCCTGAAAAACAATTAACTTCCGAGTCAGGTAAACGTAAATCAAGAGCCTGTATTTTATTTCTGAACGTTTCTACCTTGCCTCCGTAATTTTAACGAAAACACGGAACGGATTTACAATGACCTTTGTTTCATTCTTTGCGAGTGTTTCAGCGAAAATTGCAAGATCGTAAATTTCATTTTCTATGCAATTATTCTTCTTCCGAATTTTTGCGTTTTGCCAGTTCTTTGTAATTTTACGTTTTGTTGATGCGGGTTTGCTTTGATGGCAATTGTAAATGAGATTTTAAGTGGAGTTTGTGTACGATCTTTTTGGTGGTTCTTGGAGTTTGCAATTTTAGTTTTTGGAAAAATATGGGGGGAAATTCGAAGGTTGCAGTTTCCCAAGGTTCTAATTTCCCAAGGTCCCAATTTTCCAAGGTCAAAATTTCCCAAGGGCCCAATTTCCCAAGGTTTCAATTTCTCAAGGTTCCAATTTCCCAAAGTCCCAATTTCCCAAGATTTCATTTTCTCAAGGTTCCAATTTCCCAAGATTCCAATTTCTCAAGGCTCCAATTTCCCAAGGTCCCAATTTCCCAAGGTTT